ACATGGCGGCGCCCAGGGAGGCTGAGGACGCCGGCGGCCGGTGAGACGCTGCGTGCGGCCCCCCTATCCTGTGTTTCCCGCGCTCAGCTCTCACGCGGTTGTCCTCCCAGGCCCCCGCGCGATGTGGAGGAGCTGCCTCCGGCTGCGGGACGCAGGGCGCCGCCTTCTGAACCGGCCCCGGGGCAGTTTCACCGCTTCCGAGGGGTCGGGGCCGAGCCCCTCGACCCCTGCCCGGGCCTACGCGCCCCCGGCAGGTGAGGGAGGCCAAGGCCGAACCGGGCGGAGGGGTCGGCCGTGCAGGGTGGCGGTGGCTGAGACAGGTCGCAGATCAGAAGGGAAGCCCCCGAAAGGGCAGGGACCGCCGCAGGGCACAGTCAAGTGTCATTTGTCACGTGCGGCTTTCTTCAGTTCTGTAAGGAAGTTAGATGTCATCCTTGCTTTCGGGCAAGGAAATTCGGGTTCTGGACCAGGATTGCGCCAAGGTCAAAGAGCAGACTTGGAGAGGTTTGTGAGGTTCGTGCCCCTTCCTCCACTTCTGACTCTGATGAGGCATAGAAGAAGGTAGTGGCTTTTTCATGAAAGCCTCATCAGAGATGACAGTGGGAGTGACTCCCTGAGTGAAGAGTAGTAACACTCGCCTTCCATTCAATTGGTGTATCCGCTGAGGGCAGGAGGCACCGTGATCTTGGAGACACACATGGCTTCCACCCAGGTGATGTCCACTGTCCAGTGAAGAAGCTTATACTATCCGATTAAACAATAACCTATAATATCCTGTGATCACAGGTGTACAGAGGAGCGCTTACTCCCATCTTGGGGGTGTTGAGCGTCTAGAAAAGTCTTGGGTGACAGGATGTTTGGGCTGAGTCTTGACAGATGAGTCACAGTTCAGAGTAGAGGAGGAGGAAGAGTGTTGGCAGCTGGAACACACTGAGGTGATAGCAGGTATGAGGAACCTTGCTGTGACACTGCCTGCGTTAGGAAATCTGGAACTTCACAGGTGGTTTGGCGCTGGGGCAGAAGCACAAACCTGGGGTCTGATGCTGGCCAAACAGGCACTGTGTGATCTTGGCACGTGACTGCTTCCTTCGGCCCTGATTTTCCTCTGTGTTGAAGGACTAGGCTGCCTTTGAGGCAAGTTCCATGATTTTATGCAAATGGAGAAGGGGGCTGGATGCAGCAGGGGAGGTTTCCCATGCCAGGGCCAGGCAGAGGGCCTGGAGGTCCACGAGGAGCCAGGAAGGAGGATGAAAGAGGGGCACCTGTGAGGCTGTGACTCATAGTAGGAGGTGTACGTATTTTCTGGTTCCAGGCACACATCTCCTAAAACCCTTGTCATTTACGAAGAGGTAAAGTCACGGGAGAACCTTTTGTTAAAATATTTGGTCTTTGTCCTGAAATAGCTCCAGAATGAAAGATGAAAGATGCCTCTTATTACTCATAACAGCCCATTTCAGCCACACCTGAGTTTGTGTTAATGAGATGACTTTTGCCAGGGGAATCAACCACAGGGGTTGGAACTTTCAGCCCAAGCCCCTGACCTCTGGGGAGGGTAGACGGGCTGGAGATTGACTTGATCACTAATTACCTATGATTTAATTGATTGTTTCTGTGTAATGAGGCCTCCATAAAATCCCTGAACTACAGAGTTGGGAGAACGTCTAGGTTGGTGAGCACATGGAGCTGCGGGGAGGGTGGTGTGCCCGGAGAGAGCATGGAAACTCTCTTTCCTCCCTGCCTTGCCCCACGTGTCTCTTCCATCTGGCTGTTCCTGAGTTGTATCCTTTTATGATAAGCTGGTAGTCTGGTAAGTAAACTGTTATTCGTGAGTTCTGTGAACTGCTGTAGCAAATTAATCCTGTAGGAAATTAGGCTTGTCGGACTGAGCCCTTAACCTGTGGGATTCAACACTGTCTCCAGGTGGACAGCGTCAGAATTGAGTTGATTGTAGGACACCCAGCTGGTGGAGTTGATGGGTGGGGAACCCCCCCCACATTTGGAGTGTAGTGTCTGTGTGATGGATTGAGTGTTGTTTGTCCTTTATGATGCCCTGGGGAGGCACATATGAGTGAAGGGGACACAGTCAGGAATTCCCTTAAGTTGGCACAAGCAGAAGGTTCGTTTAGGTTGGTGGATGCCACTCCCCACTGTGGTGGCTCTGATCTGCCCCGTTCCTTTCTACTGCAGACATTTTAGCTTAGGCTGGTGGTAGCCACATATGGAGGGAAGTGAGGATGGGCAGAAGAGTGGAGAGCCATGGGCGCGTGGTGCACCCCGGCCTTGAGTCTCTGCGAAGACTTTTATGGTCTGAGCGGCTGTGAGTTTTGGAGGAGGGGGAGGTTAAACCCAAGTGTGCCTTCTCCATGAAGACTTGGAGAGTCAAGCAGGTTGAACTTGGCTCCTTAGGAGTGGCTATGACATTGAAGGTTGTCAGAGGTGAGGAGGAGGTTAGAAGAGAGTCACCAGGTGTGGAGATGGTGCCAGGTGGCCAGGATGGCAGTCCAGCTCTGTACCCACTCTCAGAGCCGTCAGCTGTGTAGAGGGGAAGGTTCTAGAGGCTGCCTGTCCGGTGAGGACAGCACCCAGTGAGGTCCAGGCTGGTAGCCTCCTCTGTTTGCAAGTGTCTGTCGCCTGGACAGGTCATGTAGCTTCTCGTCTCTGCCCGTCTTCAGGCAGCGCTTATGCTAGGGCAAGGGAGATGCTGCAGGTGAGGAGCCCAGCCTGCCATCTGCCTTTGTGAATAGTTTTTGGAACACAGCTCTGCTTGGTCATTGACACACGTCCAGGGCTGCTGTCACCACGGCACAGAGCTGGCTGGTGGCAGCAGGGACCAACCAGATGGCCTGCAAAGCCTAAAATAAAATACTTGGTCTGGCTCTCCGCAGAGCGTCCCGACCCCTGCTCGGGGTGCTCGAGCAGTTCAGAAGGAGGTGTGTCTGGTCGTTTAGCCCGCCTGTGTTCTTTGCCGCAGCAGACACATTTGGCCTGGAGAATTTTTTAGCAGCTTTGTTGAGTTATGGTTTACTTACAATTCACTCTTTGAAGCATACAGTTCAGTGGTGTTTAGTATACTTGCAGGGTTGTGCAGCCGTCAGTTCTAGAAGACTTTGGTCACCCCACAGGAATCCCCGTGCCCTTTAACTGTCACCCTCCGAGTACCCCCCAGCCTCCCCAGCCCTAGACAACCACTACTTTGTTTTCTGTCTCTGTAGATTTCCCTAGTTTGGACATTTCCTATAAATAGAATGTGGTCTTGGGGCTGACTTTCTTTCACCTAGCTTTTCAGGCTTTACCCCAGTGGTGGCATATATTGCTGCTCCGTTCTTTTTCATAGGTGACTAATACTCCATTGTGTGGATGCACCACATTTCACTTACCCATTCATCCATCAATGAACCTTTGGGTGGTCTTCATGTTTCGGCCATTCTGAATGCTGCCGTAAACACTTGAGGACAGGTTTTTATGTGGGTGTATTTTTTCATTTCTCACAGATCGCACGAAAGAGTAGAATGCTGGATCACACGGTTACTGGCTCTCTGAGGGACTGCCACACTGCTTTCCAGGGTGGCTGCACCATCTCACACTTCCCCCAGCAAGGCACAAAGGTCCTGATTTCCCCGGATGTGTCTTTGTGATGACAGCCATCCTACTGCATGTGCGGTGGTGTCTCCTGGTTTTGGTGTGCATTTCCGTGATGACGAATGGTGTCCAGCATTTTCTCATGTGCTGTTTGGATATTTGTGCATTTTCTCTGGAGCAGTGTCTGTTCGGATCCTTTGACCGCTTCTCCGATAGGCTGTCTTTTTATTCCTGAGTTGCAAGAGTTCTTGGTGTAGTCGGTCGGAGGAGTTTTTATCCTTGGAAACGGTTGGTCTGAGCCGCCCCAGGTTTGTGCGGAGGGATGCCCTGAGTCGGGATGTAGCTTGCAGGCCGGAGGCCCGCCAGGTGGCGCTGTTGAAAAGGAGAAGGCGCTTCCTCTGCCCGGTGCGCTCTAGGGGTTGCAGCTCTGGGGTTCTCAGTCCTTGCAAAGCAGAGGCCAGCCCGAAAACTGAGGCTGGTGGAAGGGTCCCTCACTGGTCCGGGAGGCCTGGGGCAGGAGGAGGAGTGGGGGAGTGAGAGAAAACTGTCGGTTTCTGTGTATGGATTGAGGCAACCTCGCAGGAAAAAGGACCCAGTGGACCCAGAGGACACTTCAGTCCTCTTCACTAGAGCAGGTTTTCGATGTTCTCTGCTTTCACAGCCTGTTTTCTTCTGGCCAGCTTTTAAAATTCAGTGCTTTTTCACGAACCCATTTCTCTGTATCCACAGAGTCCTTAAAACTGTCACTTAGAAAGCAGCAAGTGTGTTTTTGCCACGGAAACAGATGTTCTGTCAAGGGGGTGCTTGAGCTCAGAGCAGACTCGAGTTCTGGGGGACTGCTCCGCGCTCACGAGGGTCCTGGTGGTCTCGTGACGTGTCTTCTGTGACCCAGGACCTTTGAGGGTCCAGGCAAAACCCGTCTGTCCTGATATTTTTGGAAACACTGAATGAACTTTCCAGGTCCTGTTCTGGTTGCCTTCGTGAGCCCCTGGCCCGGCTCCCTCTGCCCCTTGCTGGGGCCCCTGGGCCGCTCTGATATCCTCTGCGGGAGCTGCCTTTCCAGCTCTCTGGAACCCTGCTGCCCTGAGGCCGGCAGCCCCCTGTAAGCGGTTCCTTCTGCTGGAAGGGGCACACGCTCCCTTCTGAAGCCGCAGGTACAGTTCAGCCCCTCCTGCAGGGTTCAGGTGACCCGGTGCCTGGAGGCCTTCCTTTGGCCCAGGCGAGAGGGGGCTGCCCTGGGGCGTGTCTAAAGCAGTCCTTGCACTTTGGCCATCCTGGTCACTTTATCGTGTGCTGGTCTGTCGTCCCCCCAGGCAGCAGGTGTCTCGAGGGCAGGGGCAGCTTTGAGGAGATCAGCACCATCAGGTTTGTGCCAGGACAGAAGAGCGCCATCGAACAGCAGAGCCTAAAAACCACCTGCACGCGGGCCTGCTTGGCCGCCCTTCTGTCCTCAGGTGCGGAGGTGGGCCTGGCCGGGCGGCGGCGCAGGGCCGAGGGCAGGGAGGCTTCTCTGGGGGGAACCGCGCCGCCCTGGCGGCTTTGGGAGGTCCTGCCTGTGCTGCCCAAGGCCCCACCTCCCAGGGCCGTGTCGCGCCGGGTGCTGGAAGGCTCTCCGCTGGCACTGCTGCCTCAGGGGCGGCTCCTTCCCACGGTGTGAGTCAGAGCTTCAGATCCCCTCCCACTTCCTGCCTTTCTGGCTCTGGAGGTAACTGCACAGGCTGGCCGCCTCCATCCAGGCCTCCAGACAGACAGGGGCCTCCAGCCGCGTGTCTTACCTGCCACCTGCGTGGACCGCGATGGCATGCTGAGGTGGGACACTTAAGGGCAGCAGGGCCGGGTAAGCCTCCTATTTTGGTGTCGGATGTTTGAGAAAATCACCATTATGGTCTCACACAGAGGTGGTAAATTCTGCTGTGGTTGTAACTGCGTCGTCTCAGTGGTCAGATCAGATCCCCTTTAAAAATAAATTTTGGCTCCACGAAGATGGGGATTTTTGTCTGCTTTGTTCACTGTTTTGCCCCAAGTACCTGGGCCAGCACTTGCCACATAGTAGGCACATGAGTTTTTTTGTGGGAAAATAGTTTGAGCCTTAGTTTAGTACGTGCAATCGTGGAGATGTAATTGTGGCCTCTTTGTGCGAGTGTTAATGATAGCAGATGAGGCACATGAAGAACCTGAGGTTGGAAAACACAAGAATACATGTTTGGAGTAAGACCAGATACCCTGTCTCCATGACACCACTGTCCCTGCCCCCCCCACGCAAACCCAAGTTCCCCTGATTTTCGTAGTCTAGTTGAATTAATAAACTTTTAAGTTTGATCTTTTGTATGTGTGTTAAAAGAAACCAAAAAGCATTAAAAACCATTAAAAACTCTTCCTTCGTCGTGTGCTGCGTCGTTACTTCCAATAAGTGACTTTCGTCAGGGATGCTGAAGGTGTTTAGTGCCCAGTGAATACGGGCAGGGACAGGCGAAGGCAGAAAGGAGGTTCGCGTTTCTCTTGGGTGGTGGAGGCTGGTTTAGGCTTTGTAGCTTCCTGGATGTGCCCAATTGGAGGAATCTGCACACTTCCGTATGAGGCACGCTTGGTTTTTAATCCCTCCAGGTAAGAGGGGGAGTGTGGTTAGTGCTCACGTGTGATTGTACTTGTTGTTTTCAGAAGAAAACACAGGACCCCAGTTTCTCCCTTTTTGAAAGGAAACGTTTGAAGTGTCTGTTGATACGCAGGTGAGCTGGTTAGTCAGGGTAATTAACTGGATGGGGGGGTAGGAGATGCTCTTGGGATCTCTCCTTACTGCGTGTGCACCGTCCACGTGGACACACATGGACACACGCACGCACACGCTAGCTTTCCACACGAGCCTTTGAGCTGCCGGATTCCTGCCCGGGGTGGGTCTCTGGTGCTGTCCCACTCAGACGCTAGACTGGAGCACGCAGCGGGTAGCGGGGGACGTGCTGAGAAGTTGAGGCAGGAAGTGTCAGGTGGTCAGTCTGCAGCTTCGTGATGCTGTGTGGTCCCTGTTGCTGGGCTTGGGGGCCGGCGGGACCTGTTGCTCTGTCGTCCCTGGACAGTGAATGGTTCCTCCCCTTTAGTCAGAAGCCGTGGAGTGGGGCGGACCTTGAACGGCGATGTGGAAATCCGTCAGTCAGCATTAGCAGCAGTGATCCAGGCTGCTCTCGTCACTTCCTGGGCTGTTGCCGCAGTATTGTAAACTGGCTTTTTGAAAAATCTTTCCAACAGAGAGGAAGAGGTTTTATCAGAACGTCAGCATCGCACAGGGTGAAGGTGAGTGTCTGAAATTCTGACCATTTCTCTTTCTGTGTTCTTCTGTGAACGGGTGGGAACATTTCTGGTCTCCGCCGGTTCCTCGGTGAGCTTCCCCTTCGCGCATCTGCCGGCTGTGGTTCTGGAAGCCCACGGTGAAGGGACTCGGCGCCTTGTCTGTACCGGTTCAAGTAATTAAGTATAGCAATGGTCACTCGATTCCACTAACAACCCCTGACAGGTTTTCGTCTGATCTTTCAAGGTGGCTTTGAGATCAACCTAGACCACAGGAAGCTGCGAACTCCCGGAGCCAAGATCTTCACTGTCCCCAGCGAGGCCCTCGCCGTGGCAGTGGCCACCGAGTGGGACTCCCAGCAGGACACCATCAGGCCCTACACCATGCACCTGGTAACAAAGCCAGCACCCTGCAGAAACCGAGGCCCCTTTCCCAACTCGGATCCGGCCCCCAGGTTGGGGTTCCAGGCACACCGCCCTCTGGCCTGACTCCTCCCAGGCCCCGGACATGTCTCCCGCTGCCCCACTCTCCTCCTGTGTCCCAGCAGCTCTCACGCGCTCTGTGGTTGTGGTTGTGTTACTGCGGTGGCTGTCTGCCCTCTCCCAGCCCAGAGCCCGCCCCTGGCCTGGGGTTCGGCGCAGATCTGTGGCCATGGGGGCCGCTCGCCATGGAGCCAGCCCCTGGTCCACACGCAGGCAGCTCACTGAGCGAGGTGCTCCAAGAGCGGGCAGGGAAGGGGTCACTAAACTGGGGCCCCGGCTCTGCAGCTTCCAAGTGGTAACCTTGGGGAAGTTGCTGCCCCTTCTCAGCCAGGGCTCCCCACCGTGAAAGGTGGGCAGTGGTCCCCACACAGGCCGGCTCTCCATCAGCTCGGCCGGGACACGCAGACTAGGCGGGCTTCCTCAGCCCCTCCCCGGCCCGCGCGGCCTCTCCCCAGCCTCTGATGACGTGCGGTCTTTGTCAGAGGAGCTGCAGACAGCAAGGCACAGCTGGGGAACCAGTCTGGCCCCTGGAGTGGCTGGTTCATCCCCCTGCTCCCTGAGGGATCGGGGAGTCGGCTGCTCAGATGTAAGTTCCAGTGGTGTCTCCACGCTCATTTTCTGAACTTGACCTCTGTGAGCCTGGGTTCTACATTCTGAATGTTACGATAACAGTACCTCCTGGAAAGGGTTGTTGCAAGGCTGGAGTTAAATGTGCAGAGCCTGGTGGTGGAGGGCCTGAGACCTCGGGGGTCTCACTGATCCTGGGGCTGGCGAGTCGGTGCCAGGAGGCCCTGTAGCCCTGAGTCTGGCACGGAGCCTGGTGCAGGGGGACCGAGCGGTTCCTGCCGCTGGGCCCTGGCTGTGCTGTGCAGCGAGCGTCCTCGGGATGCAGTGCTTCTGCCTGATCAGTGGTGCTGACTGGCCCTCTGCCTCTGATGTAGACCACGCTGTGCAACACGGCTCTGGACAACCCAACCCAGCGAGACAAGGACCAGCTGATTCGGGCGGCTGTCAAGTTCCTGGACACGGACACCATCTGGTAATGGCCATACGGGCGCCTCCCTGGGGCCTGAGTGAGTCCGTTGGGCTGTCTGCTCCCTCTGTCCAAGCGTTCTCTCCTCCGCACCTAGCTGCTCTGCAGATCCTGGAAGGGAGGGCTCACGGGCAGCACTGGTGCCAGGGCCCCAGGCCTCCTCTTCCACAGCACGGCCCCTGACAGGTCCAGGCCTCGGGTCCCATGTGCCTTGCCCAGTGGGGCCTCTGACCCTGGACTCCTGTCCCCGCACGTTGTCACACAGACGTCCTGCTCACCACTTGTCAGCTGGATGCAGGTGGTCCCCTGCTATATTCAGGAGCTGGCCTGCTCCACTTAGGGAGCCCCGCCTCGCACCTGTGTTCTTTAGCTGCTGGGTCAGTGACGTGGCTGAGCAGTTCCATGTCTGCTGCCCGATGCTCTAGGTCCTCTCACGGGTGCC